TATTTATTATTATTACTATTATTAATACGATGACGATGATGACGGTGATGATAACGATGATGACGATGATGATGAAAATAATGATGATGATGATGATGATGATGATGATGATGATGATGATGACGATGATGATGATGATAACGATGATGACGATGACGATGACGATGATGATGATGACGATGTTGTTCCCCAGCCAATCACACGGCGCGTCTCCCAGTGACCTACAGTCCCCCCACGACGGCCCCCCCACAGACCAGGAACAAACCGACGTCAAAGTCAAAGATGAACACACGGCCCAGGGGGACGAGACCAAGGAGGAGGACGCCTTCACTGGGTAAAACTTGTTCCCGCGTCTGATCCGGACATTGGGGATTGCCTAGTTTTAGTAAGAGTTTTACGGCACTTGCAACACAATAAGGTCATATAAGTGCCGAAGATTAGAGGTGTTACACGAGAGGACGCCTTCACGGGGTAAAACTTGTTCCCAAGTCTGATCCGGACATTGGGGAATGCCTTGTTAGTGAGACAACTTCCTGAGTTAGTAAGACTATTTCCTGAGTTAGTGAGACAACTTCCTGAGTTAGTAAGTCAACTGCCTGGGTCTTCGGCATTTTGTGGTCCATCTCTGATAAAGTAAAAGTAAAGTTGTTCCCACATTTGATCCGGACATTGGGGAATGTCTAGTTAGTGAGACAACTTCCTGGGTCTTCGGCATATTGTGGTCCATCTCTGATAAAGTAAAAGTGAAGTTGTTCCCACATCTGATCCGGACATTGGGGAGTGCCTTGTTAGTGAGACAACTGCCTGGGTCTTCGATGTAATTATTGTGGTAGGGTGGCCAGTTCCTTTCCACGCCGCCTTTACTGGGTAAAACCTGTTCACGCATCCGATCCGGACATTGGTTTTAGTTCAGTTTTAGTAAGAGTTTTACTGCACTTGCAACTCAGTAAGGTTATGTAAGTGCCGAAGATTAGAGGTGTTACAAGAGAGTAACAAACACAAAAAAGAAGGAGGGAAGATAAGGACGATATATGTTTGATAGGAAAGAAGAAGCAAACCACACCAGAGCACCCGCCAACCACCCACCCAGACACTGGGGAGTGCCTAGTTAGTGAGACAACTTCCTGGGTCTTCGGCATAATTATTGCCAGTTCCTTTCCACGCCGCCTTTACTTCCCCAACTCCAAGTTAGGTACCCATTACTGCTGGGTGGGCAGGAGGGAGGCGAAAAAAATCCCAGTCCTAATCGAGGCTCGAACCCGGACTTTCCGTTTTGGAGACGAGCGGTTCATTGGGTACTTAAAAATAAAAATACCCC